GGTCGTTTTATGGCACATGGAGGGCAATCAACTAATAATAGTAATGTGACGGTTCGCTGATGGAGCGGGGAGGAATCCAGTTAGTGCCAGACCCGTGAGACAGCGTGTTCGGCTCCAGGCAGCGCCTTTTCCTCGGGAAACTTTGCGGAGCTGAGGCAGAAACTTGATTTCGTTACATCTGAATACATTCCTTCTCCTGCTTTCTCCATGTTTTCTACATGTTCAAGGTCTCCAGTGCAGAACTTTCTCCCTCCTATCTCTCTCCTACCGTGTCTGCCACGCTGGAGCCCAACTTCCAGCTGCGTTATAAATTTTCGGGTGATACCGCGTGACCTTTGGCTTTGCAAATCTGAACAACGGCCGTCAAAGTTAAAACACAAAATGTGTTTGTCTTTTGAAGGATAGAGTGGGAACCTTCCCCCAGTGCCACCCTTCGAATAACTGTACTTACCTTCCTGAAGCAAAGGCACGAGATTTCAGTTAAGGTAGGGCTTTTGACTCTCAGTAAAGTAATTTTTCAGGACATGAACACATGTAACAAAACAAATTTGGGCAGATCAAAGCATATGCACGTTGACCTTCGACAGCAGTAGGGATTAGGCACTTCACCTTACTTTGTTACTTACATTACTCCACAAAGGAAGTCTTATTCCATGACCAGACCTCACTACAGCAGTTCAATTTGGAAATACTGAAAAAAACTCGTCTCCCAAAATCAAGAAAAGAGACCACGGGTTGGCATAGACAGATGAATGCAATTAAACCATTCTCGTTAGCACCACAGGCAGGGATCTCCCAGCTGACCCACTGCTGCCTCTGTCACCACCTGCATCTGCTTTGCCTGCATCACGCCGGCAGGGCAGGGCAGGGCAGCCACCCCTGGGTTGGGGCTTCTTCACTTCAGTCTCTGGCTGAATCACTTGCTGAGTTTCAGGACTAGAAACACCAGTATTTGGCTTTTTGGAGGATCACTGGCCTCTGTGTTGAAAATTTGTCAGTGCTGCAGACCATTTAATAAAAGCAAAATTAATCAGGTTGACAAAATCAGCTTAAACTGGACAGCTGCAGAGCTGTTCCCATTCCATTGTTTTTTCCCCGTATATAATAAATTGTGTAATAGTTGTTTTTTGTTGAATTTCAGGGAGCAAATTCCAATTTCAAGATGACTAACTGGTATCAAAACTCCTGCCGTATTAAATAATTTCAAGAAATTTCAAAAATAGATTTCAAGAATCGTGCAAATCCAAGTTTTAGAGTTATATGAGCAACAGTTGTTCAACTGAAATATTTTATTTAATATACACAGCTGCAGTTCATTTAGGCAATAGAAAGTTCACAAATACACTTGTTGACATTTGATTTGACACGTTTAGTTTGACAGAAACCAAAGACTAGAAAAGTGAAGTGTAATAATCATTAAGAACACATTAAAAGTGAGATTATTATTACAACTAAATTACAAATGATATAAATATTTGATTCTTGTATAATCTCTACGCATTTAACAATTCTGATCTTGGGAGTATGGTTATGGCAAAAGACGACGGCTTTTAAATTTAGCTTGTTCTTACTAGCATGGGAAGTCACACTCAAAACTATTTCAAAATTTAGAAATTATAAACTAAATCCTGATCTTGGTGGTGAATTCGCTGCAGTAGAACTGCCATCTGCTGTCGTGGCTTTGGGGCAGCTCTGGCACTTGTGTTTTCAGACAGGAGACTTCTGCAACTCTCAAGCCGTACGGCTGGTTACCAGTGAATATTCTTTATACACCTTCTAGCTAAGGTGTATGAGCCTTAGGTTGTAAGAGAACTGAGTCCAGTTGTGTGTCACAAGGAGACAGCTGCCGCCCATTTACATTTCTAGCTCTGTCTCTGGAGTTAGGAGGGACAGAATATAGGAGTGCTTTTTGGGAAAAGGTCCAAAAAAGACCCAGAGGAAATCAAAAGTGTACCCACGTGTACCTGTGCTTTTCCTTCTTCCTCGCTCTTCTTCTCCCTTCTCCTCTCTCTCTTTCTTCCTTTCTTAACTGTTTCTGAATCAACTATTCCTTGGTGTTATCTTACAGGAACCAGATACTGTAATACACCAGTTCCATTTCTAGCTCGATTCTATGAACTTTTGAGAGTTCTAGGAGTGCCTGGAAGTGCTCCTGTTTTAAAGGAATCCGTTTGTTTAAGCCAGGTGTTACAAGGTTCTTACCCATTTTCTAAATATTTTGGGTTTTTCATTAGACCTCTTTCAATTTTCACTTTAAAAAGATCCTTTCAGCTTCAACAGAAGCTGAAATTATCTGAAGCTTTAAATTATCTGAAACACATGCAATATTGTTGCACTTTCTTCATGAGCTTTAACAAATTACATGAAAATCACTCAAATATACATTTACTTCCGTGAAAAAGTTAATTTCATATCATTTTATTAGCCCAGACAAACCACAGCAGTTTCTTTTCATGCATTACAACCTCCAGGTAGTGCATTCGCTGTTATTTCCATTTCCGGCTACTCCTGTTGATTCTGAACTCCGTGAGACACCTTATTGTTCCATATAATTTCATTCATAGTCTTGCAAAAAGCTGCCAAAATAGCTTAAACATATTCACCTGCTCTAAAGTATCTCTGAGTGAGATGGGTCAAAACCCTTTCACATCCCCGTACTGAAGGATGCTTGGCAGAGAGAAAACTAGAGCGTGGAGCGTGACACCAAGGTCAGTCACTTGAATGGTGCAAATAGGCCAACAGCAGCATTTAGAATTTCTGCTTTATTACACACAGAAGTATACTTTTTTTTTAAATAAACTACAATCAGTTGTCATTTCACACAAGCCATATGACACGTTTTCATAATTTCTGTGTTTATCCAACAAGTACAACAAAGGAGAAGAACGTTGGCTTCGGTAAAATCTATGGAATTGCGCAGGCCCTCCTTTTCAAATACCATTGTTTTGGGTTGCATTTGCAACAGAAGTTGAAACGTTACCAATCCAAGTTTGTTTCAATGAGCTTGATTTTAACAACATGCTTCTCAAGTATCCGAATATTTAGAATTACTCCACAATTCCTTACTCTGTATTACTTGACACTTGTGGACTGGCTTTGTGTGGCAAAGCGTAAGCAAGGGCAGTTTAAGAACGTAAGCTAACTATGAAAGTTTGTTTCAGTTTACAGAACCTCAAAGATTATAGATTATCATTATTATAGATCATCATTATTTATTACCTCTAGCCCAGGAAAAATCATTACTGCAAGTTCCCTCATGCCTTCTCGCTGTGCTGGGCTCCTGTCTACAGTTCGGAGATCTGTATCCTGAGCCACAGTTTTGCGCTGCACATAGATGGCCACAATTGCTTAAATTTCCTCAAAAATGGACACCTGACTTTCCTACAGGGAAGGGAGGAAGACAGAAATGCTTTTAATTATAAAACACCGCCTTTGAGTCTGTTTCATGATTAACAAATCTAATGAAATGTCCTTATTTAAAAATATATTTTGAAATGCTACATATGAACTGAGAATGGTCTTGGTTTATCTACGACCCCCATATAAAGTACTAACAGTTTTAGAAAAAGGAAAAGGTTTAAATTAATTGGTGAAGCTGCCATAGCTTTTTTAATACAAACCAGTGCTCTTGAACACCTTCATGATGTTTAGATATCGTAAAACAAAGTGAAAAATGCACACTGGCAGTCATTCCTGCCCAAACAAAGCCTGCATCGCTCTTACACTGCGGTACAAACCGACTGCTTACACCCACGCAAATGGAATTTCAGGGCAGTGGAACCATGTTCAATTTTGTGAGTGTCATTACTTTATTGCAAGTGTCACATGAATCAGAGAGTGCTTACACCCCAGTCGAAACACCTTCTAGATCTAGACACAGAACGATTTTGGGACTCTGCAATCTGTACAAAGAGACTTTGTACTACGAGCCTTTGAAAGAACACGACTCCATCAGCATCACTTACAAATTATCTGTGCAAAAGTACAGTATTTCATAAATAAACTTTACCCAAATATTACAGAAAAAAAGCTTTGGGATACATTAAGTATAAATACCGAGACAGCTGAGCTGCGGATTTAATTTAGGTATATACAATACTCTGCTCACCAGTTCTTTTCGCACGCGTACATTTAACCTCCCTGAGTCCTTTTTTCCGTCCTTAGCGACACGATGCATGTTCAGACGCTTGCTCAGTGACAGCAACGAGAGCTTCAGCGCTAGAGAGAGGTGGGAAGGAGCACATCGAAGCGCGCTCCACCTCTCTGGCCGCGGATTTTAAGCTTACTGCACTTTGGCCTCTAAGAGCCCACTGGGCACGACGTGCCCGTGCCCGCTCACGCACGCACTGACGTGTCTCAGCGAATCCGCTCCAAGATAGGCCATTAAAAGTTCCGTGTGTCGGATCAGTAATTGCATCAGATCTTCAGCCAAACTCTCCATAGTCGAGTATCTCACCTTTTCAAAATCGAAAATGTCTTTGAGGAAGAAAAGCACTTGATCCTAGTGAGGGGGGAAAAAAAAGAAAGAAAAGCTTGCAGTCACTCACAAGAAGAAAAAAAGTAGCAATGCTGGCTATTTCTTTGAGATGTTTCCATCAACACCATCCATTTATGTATTCTTTTGGTGCTTAAACAGAAGTGCACTAAAATAGCCTTGCACAACAGTTCTGGGCTTAAAAAACAATTAATATGAAAATATTTATTTTCATCGTTTCTTACTGTTACTCTTAATCTTAGGAAAATGCAAATGTATGCTTATAAAGAATTTGTTTTAGTCTGGAAGATTTTTATTTTTATTTTTAAATTAAAATAAGTGGTATTTAAAAAAAAAAAGTTGCAAACCTTGAAGAAGCAGCATAGGTCATAAAGGGAATTTCTAGGGCCCAAAAATCCCCACGCCAGTACAGGGCTAATATGTTCACATATAGCATAGAAATGTGCAAAAAATCCATCAGGCACCTGGCGATGTAAAAAAATGTAAACACAAGTTACACAGTAAATTTACTCTAAATCTCTATTATAGCAAAATAAGTCTTCAGAATAGCTTAACACACCTACTGCTACAGGGCTGTCCCCACGTGCTGCCTGATCTAGTCGAGAGGTGATGTCCCTGGCGGCAGGGAGGCTGGATTAAAATGATCTCCAAGGTCCCTTCCAGCCTGGGCCATTCTATGATTCTGTGATGAACTTGAACTCCTTTAAGTTATAAGGCAACTGTACCAAGTGTCACAGAAAAGGCTTTTACCTCAGTGGTATTTTGTATTTTAAATACTTGGAGATTAATAGGCGTGGGTCCAGAAAGATCATGAACAATCTACTCCAATTTCCACGTGACAGGTCAGGTAATTGTATTCAGTTATTCTCATCTGAACCTCTACACACTACATATAGCTGAAACTTGCAAAAAAAATTAAGGAAACTGGACAGTTTTGAATAGAAAAAAGATGGATTCTTGTAAGGTGTATTTTAAGTCAAAAGAAAATAAGCTGAGTTATCTGTGAATGTCCATCCTGTTTTACAGCCTACGGGCACTCATAAAATATGATATAGTAAAAATTTATACATCAGATAAAAAGGTACATATTTTATATGTTTATAAGTGCGTAAAATACATAAATTTACAACATAATTTATAAAACAATAAAATAGAAATTATTAATAAATTAAACCATAAAATAGCACATGAAGAACTGTCCATAAGTAAATATAAGTTCGTCTAATTCTTTGTGGTACACTTCATCTCTCCCTTACAGAGATTTCATGGTGCTTTAGCCACTTTTGAAAGAGTTCAGCGGCACTGATGAAACTACTACCGAGGAGTGAAGTTATTCTCACATTTACAAACTTATAAATATTTAGACTTCAGTATACAAAGGAACATCTGTTTCAGAATTTAATCCCTTTATAAAAGAACAGCGTCGGAAAGGTCTATTTATACAAAATAGCCAACCATATTGACACAGGGATGTAACATCTCAAACCTTAAAACATAATGGTAGCTGAGGACCTTTTCCAGAGTGTCAATTTTTTTAATTTTGAACTATGAAATACGTCTTTAGCAGTTAGTAAATAGCTATTTTTAGAATCGGAGAAAGTGCCAACCACCCGAGCAAAGACTCCTCACCTGCAGTACAGGCACGACCCCTTCTAAGGGCTATGGACGTCAAGCAGCAAACCTCGGCCCTGCTTTTGGGCCAGCAACCACCGAGATGGGTGTTTGCCTCTGAGGTCTAACAAAGCCCTCCAGGGGTGGAAGTGAGGACCTGCTGGCACAGGGGAGTTCTGCTCCGAAATCTGCAGAGTCCCTTGACCGAGAGGTCTGGGTGTAGAAGGAGGGTGAAGGAGGCTGCAACAGAGTTCTGGGGCTGGTGAGGAGGATGGTACTTCAGGCCAGGAGAGGGACAGGCCTGAATTTTATTTAGCTGTGGAGATGATGCCGGGAGCTGGGGCTGAGAATCCTGCCATGAGCAGAGGAGATGCAGGATTAATGGCCTTGGTCTGCAGAAATCCGAGGTACGTGTGCAGGACCATAAGTGAGAGGAAATACTGTCACCGCTGCTGACTGGACCTAAACTAGGAGTTCAGCGGCACTGATGAAACTACTACCGAGGAGTGAAGTTATTCTCACATTTACAAACTTATAAATATTTAGACTTCAGTATACAAAGGAACATCTGTTTCAGAATTTAATCCCTTTATAAAAGAACAGCGTCGGACTGGACTTAAACTAGGTTGCAAATCTTTCAGGTAAGACATTTAGCTAAAAAACTGGTATTAGGGCCCCATGAATTAAACTTCTACAATTGGCAGCCTCTTGTCTAAACTAACATGTCTGCATAATTAAGGGTTGATCTGTAATTTATTTTGCCAAAGCTACAGAACTTTGAATTCTTAGGAGCCGATCAGTAACTTTGGTCCACATAATTTACAATGCAACTTACCTTCATTTGCTGTCTTTTCTGCTTCAGTACTGACCAACAGCTTGAAGCCACAGCCTAAATGTAAAAAAAAGCCCCAAATCCTGTGTAACTTCACTATGAGAAAAAACATTTTTCCTCTCAAAAGAAGTGATCTGCAGAATACTGTATTTTGGGGATTCACATTTTCTTCAGTTTCAATCTTGAGATAACACAAATTTTAAAACTATAAAATACCATCTGATACAAATACCTAATTTTATATGTAGTTTATGTCTGTTATTTTCAGACCTTACTTTGCAACATCGTCTTTAATTCAAATGCAATTTTTCATCACGACTGATTTTACAGTTGCAATGGTTAACTACACACACTGAGTTCAACTGAGGACCTGTTTCTCCTGTACCAAAGGGTGCATTCAGAAATAAGTAACTATTTTAGATATTAAGTAGCACGTGAACACATTGAAACGTCTTACTTCATTTTAGCAAAAACATTCTTGCAATAGCTTAAGATTCAGCTACGGAATTTTGTCCAAATATGGACCTGTGAAATACAATATACCGATACCAGAACTACGCTTTTTCCCCTCAGAGCTCGTAGCTATCCTCATCGGATTCTCCTTCAGTGCTGCAAGATAATTTACTACTCACAGAACATAATGGCATCACAGAACTGCAGAAATAAATATATGCACGTTACCTTTTTTTTTCCCCCCTCCAGAGGGAATATTTCCTTTGGTTGAAAAAAAAAAATAAAAGGAAAACTGGCAGTTTATAGAGATAAATGGATGGCCTGACAGCAGTGTCTGCCAGCTGAGCATGGCAGCAGCCTGCATGTCTGCAACACAGCAGTGAGGTCTATTGGACAGATAAACTGGCACATCTCAAAAAGTGTGAAACCTTATCAACATTTGAATGCCTGTTTTGTATTAATTTACTTTTGTTTGCTTGCAACTTTGTGCCTTATTGCTAAATTTCTGGTATATGAACCAAAACCTGTACCTGGTATCTAAGATGTGGCTAACAAACTTCTCTTCTAAAATTCTGCTTCCTCAGAGAAAACAAATTTTTGCAGGACAAGTTAAAGTATTTTCTCCAATGCATTCAATCATTCTGCATAGTTTTGGTCCCAGACTTGTAGCTTTTAAACTGCTATTAGGAAAAACCTGATAATGCAATCTGTTTATTATTGCTAAAGAATATTGCAGGTACATATTCAGTTATATTGGAAGTCAAATTAGACTTTACATCGAAGGACAGTGTAGCTTCTTTCCTTCAAAATTACTGCTATTATCAAGACAATATGCACAGTCCTTATCCTGCAGTTGCTGGATTTATTCTTGTTTTCTTGTTTTTTATTCTTGTGTTTTAGAACACAAAGCACAGATCACCAGAAGAACAGTTTCGGCATATACAGAAATTTTGTATCAGAATGCTCACAGCAACCTTATACTGATCATAACGTGCTACAGAACAGTGATTAATGTTTATGAAAATTACACGTAAATACTTACTGTTTCTTTAAAAGAGGAATTTAGCCAGCGGTTATTTACTACATTCTGTATAGATATGGGTGGATTTTCTAAATCTTCAAATGAGTCCATCAATATGAAGTCCAGAACAACATCATAAAAATTCAGGTTTTTCACCTATATTAAATTAGAACGTAGAATCATAGAACATGATCTAAGTAACCTAGTTTCTCTTTCAGCAGTGGAATTCAGCATGCACCAACTGTGTATTAACGTGCAAATGTATAATCGCTGTTAATGAACATAAAAGATACTTTGCCAGTAAAGAAGAATAAAAAAAATACTATGTGCTTTCCGTTACTAAACTGTGGCAGTGGATGCCATTTCTCTAAGTCAGCCATGTGAACAAAAAAGAGTTGCCTTTCCCACAATTCTGAACTTTAAAAATTTTAGATGCTATGGTTTGTGTAATTAAAGGTACAAGCACTTTACAGAAACTCAGACTCACTCCTCTAGCAGCAAGTTCCATTTCAGTATTATCCCAGTGATCTGTTTGTTCCAAAAAATTTATCATTTCATCAAAGACATCTTCAAATTTCTTTGGATTCTGTAAAGTAAAAGCAATGAATGTCAAGCAAACTTGCTAACAGAGATGGTCTATTTACCCTCGAAAGTGAATTCTGGTAGAACTTACGTTAACAATAAAACATTAGGTAAAGTCTTTTACCTTTCGTGCTCTCACAATTAAAGCAGACAAAATTTTTCTTCCACTTTCAGCAAGAAATATTCTGTTTGCTGTTTCTGAAAGAATTATCTAGAAAAGGTTTCAGAAAATATAGACATTCACAGGTTATATTAATTGGACCTTAAACACTTCAGTCAAATTTAATACAATTATAACCACTAGAGTATAGTAGGCAAGTTCCCAATAAGCCTTTGGTGCAAAGGTTCCAAAGCTAATCACAGCATTGGGTACGACCCATTTTAGTATTACAGGAGTGTAAAAGCAACCGGAAAATATTTAAGTACAGAACGTGTTACGAAAGTGCTTGCACAGGTAAGCACGCTGATAGTTTCAATGCCACTTACATAACAAGACAATTTACCTGAAAAGCTTGTCGAATACAGTGAAGCTTTGCAAGGAAGTCACTGTCTCCCAGACATTCAAACATCTCAGTCCTTTAGAAAACAGAAAAGTTTTCAAAGACCATTCAAAAAAGAAGCACGAGAAAATTCAGCTAATTCTAATGCCTAGAAAAAACACCTAGTGCAAGTAACTTCCAAAAAATTAGTTCTACATTGTATATTTAACTTTAATTCTTGTTTTCCTTGGATATAATTAAGTAGGCATAAATCAATACCTTAACACTCGGGAATAAATTTTGCCCTCTTCTGCTAAGTGCATAGCTTCTTCATACAATGGGCAATGGCAAAGGGAATCTAGACCATATGCATTACGAATCGCTCTGTGCTCTGTAAGCTGAAAAAAAATAAAATTGAAGTTCATTAAAGAGCTTGCTAGCATTATTTTTGTAAAGATAAAACAAAGAAGTTGCCCTGATATTCTACTGAAAGATGTATCCTTTTCTGCATCTGCTTAAAATAAAGGGGCAACTCTCAGCTAGTCCACAGTAAAGAAAAAACATACTATTAACAAATTTGTAGCTTTTAAAATCTGAAAACTACAGTTTCAGGTTTCAAGTTTCAAAAGTTTAATTAACAAAATGGAGGCAGCTTAGTTTTGCTTTTCATTTGCATAGTTAAATCTAATGGGTCTCAAAGTTGTTAAAAAATATGTCAGGACACGAAGTACAGAATGATTGCATCATGCAGATCTTTTGGAAGCTGGAAATAGTAACATCCTCCCACTGCTGATTTTGTTTTGCCGGTCAATATGCCTGCTGGTTCCCCAAGCAGACTGTTTGAAGCACAAGCATCCAGCATTTTACTACAGGCTCCCAAACAGTTTTTCATTATCGGCAGTTTTAATTCTATGGTTATTATATAAATTCACATGAACTCACAGACGTTTTTAGAGAAAGAAAAATCAAAAACACATTAAGAAATCACATAAATAACACAGAGAACTCCTGTTCACAATACATCATATTTAATCCACAAAACAATGGCTGGCTACAATTTCCACTGCAAGCATTACATTATATTATTATTAATAACGTAGCGAAGTTCAGCTGTTAGAAGAACAGACAAGCCATATACAGTGCGTAACGACATATGCGTTCCATACAACATTTTCTACATAAGAGCTTCTCAAGCTGACATCAAAAGGCAAATGAACTTTTTGTTGTAAAAGTCTCTAAGAACTTGTTACCTTTGATGAAAAAGCCGGAGGGAAAGGTTATTTTTAAATGAGATGGTTCACTATACCTATATCATTTGAATGAGCATGCATATACGATACGTATTCAGGTACCTGCTTTTTACCCCACTGTGTACCCCTATGCACCACATAACCGTGCTCAGCAGTGGTTCAGGATTTATCAGGAAGCCCCAGCACCCCACATGGTCATCACACGACACTTGGAAGCTCCTTGAGCCCTTTACTGCCCCTCTGTAGCCAACATTTCTTTGTCCAACCACTGCCGGTTTGAAACAACACACCATAAAGGATGAGAAAGCTACCCAAAGTGCTGGTAGCTGCGAGTAACGCAGCAGCTCACAACGCTGGACCCGACGTGCCAGCCGCTACCGGTCTGCTGCTCCCTCGGTGTCATGTGGGGTTACATGAAGAAGAGGTGAAAAGCTGCACCCCCCTGTAGCAGCTTAATGCTTCACCTCTATCCACTCAAGCCTCAAGGGAGAGATAAAAGTTATGGGTGACCCATGCACAGGACACTTGTGATGACCTGCAGCTACCTCAGTACGTTGAAATATGTACATTTTCAGAACTCCAAAGCTCATAGTGATAAATTGTGCCTCTATACAGAGGGCTGAAGACAACTTAGATTGTTTTTGTTCAGATGCTGATCGGTTTTCTTCGGACAATTTAGCTTTAATCCTGCATTAGCAAGTAGGGAATACTGAACCCAGTGTTGTAAAGCACAAAACCTATGGAACTTGCAACAATTTATAAGTCTGCGATTCCCAGACTGCTTTGGTCTAACAGACTCGGTACTCTTGCCACTCACAAGTGGTTTCTTAATAAATAGAGAAGATTCTCAGCTGTGGATCAAGATCTTATTGACCACCAAAATAACAACCAAGATGAATGTAACAAAAATAAACAATGCTAGACCTTTTAGGAATTCTTCCTTGCTACCCTAGTAAAAAGGTCATTTTACTGCCACAGTCAGCATTCCTTACATTCTGAGAAACTATGCTTATCCTGTATTAAAAAAGCCAACGATGACACTTATCTCTGGATATCTTCATCCCTTAGAAGATTTAAAAAAAATCTATAAGTAGCTGCAGGATGAATGTGAAACATGTTTTGGGAGATGGAAGATGTGATGGTGATTACTAACTAAAACATCTGAGATGGTATTTTAATAAACTGAAATAATAAAGTGGTGCATTCTTCCCAGTACCTGTAAGAAAACAGGAAGCTCATGCATTTTCTGCAACTCCTACACTTACTTGTACATATTACATGACACCTGATACGTTTCCTTTGAGGAACACACATTCAGAACATGATTTTATCTGAATTATTGCTGCAACCTTACTAATTTTAAGTGTAACAAAGAATGTGGATTCACTGTGTTGTGTGCATTGGTGTAGTACTCCTTGCTGGGTGAAATAATCCTGGGCTATGTGCTGTATCTCATAAACAGGCTTTTGCCTACATGGAGGTATTATGGTATAAAAAAATAAGAAGTTCAGAGCTAATATATGGAATTTGTGACAAATGTTACATGTTTCCTAAGGACTAAGAACTGTATAGTATGAGCAGTCAGCATACAGGAACACACTGGCTATTAGAAGAAACTTCGCCCTGTCCTAAAAGTGGAAACATTTAATATACTATGCAAATACCATACATAGCTAAGGTTTCTGTTAGAGGACAAGGATCAACTTCAGATTTTTTTATTACTTTTAAAGCTTTTAGAGCACCATTTAATGGCTTGTTGGCCTAAGTTTTCCTATTCATAGCCATACAGCAAGCAACCACAGTTGTCCTTGGATGGAATCGAAGGAATCTGGTTCCTGTTGACTGCTCTTCATTGCCACATTGAAAACTAGTACTTAATCACTTAACAAATATTAACGTATGAAGGGAATTTCCCAGATTAAAAAGACAAAAAAAAAAAAAAAAAAAAAAAAGCAAACAAACCCCAAACAACCAACCAAAACCCAAAGCAAACGAAGCAAAAGTTTGAGGAATTCATTAGAACAGACATGGGAAGAGGAGGTGTTTCTCAAACGGGACCAGAACTTTTCTGTTGCCTACACCACCACCACCATTTATCGGGAGGTGGAAAGCTGCTGATGATAATAGGAAAAGAGAGAAGCTTTATTAGTAGGCATCACGCTTCACTGGACACCATGAAATCTTCTGAGTCTGCCCAAAGGAGTAGGCAGTGGTCAGTGGCACCTCAGGTATGAGTTCCTCAGAGGAACAGCGTAACTGCTAGCAGAACAGAAGCCTTTGGGGGTTACTTCTTTCCTTATATGTTTTAAGACTATAAATACGAGGCACCTCCACACCTCACTAAAGTTGTTACACTAGAGAGCTCCTTAAAATTTCCTTCCCAAAGCATGCTGGATGACAGGACTGTCGTACTACTTGTTTTTGAGATAAGACAATAATCCACATCAAATTGGACAGATGACATGAACATGGAGGAAGGGACCAGAATGAGAACAATAAAGTCCAAGCAGCTCAGGTTGGTGATTACGGTCACACTTCTGAAGGCAGTCAGAACACAGGAGGGCATGTCTCTAATTTTTGTGATGAAACGGGGAAAACCCTAAACTAAACATCTCACTTACAAATGCCTTAGGAATACACCTTAATATTATTTGCAAACATTATTCCCTCTGGTATTCCCTGTTTCAGGAAAGGACTAAAACATCTACCTGGAAACCAGGAAAAAGGTAACTGTATCTCTCTGGGACAGAGCTATTTTTGAGCATTTCCAATTAAAATTTCATTTAAGTTACTTTGAAGGTTTTGGTGCCATATACAAATAATTACAGGCATATAGAAACTGGTGTTCTTTCCCTGTTCCCAAAGCCTGCTCCGTCCTGCATTGTTTTAATAGATTTGAACTGAGAAAAAGACAATCTTAGTAAAGGAATTACTGATAAAGAAAGAGCAGCTAAGGATTTATTCACGAGTCTAAAAAAAATCTAAGTTTTGGACTATGTTAACATTTTAGTAAGGCAAACAAAGGTTTTTTGATAATAGAACTACAGATTCTGTTCTAGTCAAGATATGAAAACACGACATGATAAATGCATATGCACTGACAACAGAGAGGCATCAATCAAGCTCACTATGAGGGAGAGCAGGAAAGTGCCTCTATTGGAAAGATTGAAACGAAGCCAGGAAAGAGAGGGTGGAGACCTTTAGCTGGCACACTTACCGCTGTACTCTTGCCAAAGGTGGTTGCTATTTTGATCACCCAGCAGGAGAGATAGCAAGAATATGAAAAGGATACACAACTTGATGGCAGACAGTCTCAAATAGGGAGGAAAATACCATTATTTATCACAGGATATAGTATTAATAACTTAAGGAAAATGGTTGGGCTTACCATCCCTTCTACAGCGCTTCTGAGAGCCTGAGTGTGTTTAGGAATAGAAGTTTGTATGGGCTTGGACAACTGTCTAAATAGTTTTTCTAAGGATTCAGGCACCTGTGTATCGTAGGTGTCCAGATTGGCACAACCAAGTGCACGAACCTCAGCATCCTCTTGATTACCAGCCATAGCCGAGACGAAGTTTTTGGCACACCCTGACGCTACCCTGTGGAGCTCATCAAAAGGCCATGTGATTTAAACTCTGCCAAGCGTCCCAGTTTTGTACAGTTCAATTCTTGAAAGGCATCTTCATATGTTTTGTTCTAGCATAACACAGCACAACACTCCTGTTGCCTCCTAAGCACTTTCCCCATCAATTTCCATCCATCCATCCATGTATGTCTTGGTTTAGGTTTCCCTGCACCTTTGCCGTTCTCTCTCCTGATGGCAGTGAACTAAATTGGATTTGAATGTGTGTCAGCACTGAAACATGAAAATAGCTTCCAGTTTCTAAAACCTGTCACACAAAATACTTAGTTCTGCTCCTCGGGACAGGATGCAATGTAGAAGATAGATAAATGACTGCCAACACACAGCTTGTAGCATGAGGCGACCACAAAAAGTGCGGCTACTTTGTTATTTCCCAGAAGGTGAAATTCCTAGTGACTCCAGTAGGGCAAAAATCACACAGCAGTATACACACACATAGGAATTTCACATTTTAAAAAAAACTTTTCTAAACACTTCTATAAGCACACGGAGGTTGCTATTTTTTTTTTTCCTGTCACTGCAACTAGGGAGCACAGGACAAAAGAACAACTGCCTGTTTGCCCATTAGCTGAGACAAATCCAAGTTGGGAAAGCCTCGGACCCCTTAGCCTGAAACATTTCACTTTTTTCCAAGTGCAAGAATAAAAATGGCAAGAGAAATAGATAAGCAAGAAGCTACCAGCCATCATCATGTCTAGAATAAAAAAATCTAGTATGTCAATTCTAATCTAATATAGTCTCAACTGGCTATTATTCCTCACTCATGAATATCTGAAATATTTCTTAAAATCAACTTCTTTTTAGAAAGAGCTGAGGAAACATTCTGGCAGTGCATCAGGCTAAAAAAAAAAAGATAATAAACAAATTGATCCTTACTTCATTACCTAAATTGTTAGGAAGCTGCTTACGAATAACAAGAAAAGCTTTTATTTTCAACATAATAAAATAAATTTTGCTTACAATAGTTAGCAAAAATTTAAGATTCTTCTGTTCATTGTTCAAATAGATCAACCAATCTTTAAAGAAACAATCTTCAAGAATCTTACCTCAGCTGTGGAAACAAAGGAGTCTGTTGATGCAATACTTAATGTATCTCGAAGGCAGAAGTCATCTGTACTATCCTTTACAGTAATGTCTGTATTTTTATCTTTAAAATAACAAACAAACAAACAAACAAAACTGGTTACTAGACTATCAGAAAATTGCATTTAAGTCTTGAAAATGTGTTTCATGTATTCTTTAACACAGTACTTTATTTGGAAGACACAACACTGTACTACTATGAAAGTAAATTCTCCTAGGACCTGCTAACAGGTGATCATATTTTGCTGGCATTACCGGGGACTTACAGACATCATCTGCAATAAACAGAGAGAAGAATAAATATTCCCGCAGGAGCTTTGTCTTCTCTTTGATAGACTTCTGAAGATCTATCTACCTAAAGATATTATTTGGCTATATTGACCTAAACACTCTATTAAGTGTTTAACTTGGCTCTGTTATAAAACAAATGCTCAATGTTTCAGTAAGCAAGAAATAATATTCTCAATAAAAATCCATTAATAAAAAGAACAGGTTTCAGCTTCACTTGAATTTGTTTCACTTTCTACCTCTCAAACCTTTTTTCACTTGCTCGCCCTTCAGGAAACCTAGTGACGCTTTTAATCTTCACTGTATCCTCTTTCCCCAAAAAACCTCTGCACTGAAATAACACATCTAGAAGCATTTCCTATAGTACTAATATTCTTAGAGCCTTTAAAATAACTGATATTTTTTGTTTAAAATAATCTGCAACAGTTTCTCTCCATTTTCCTTTATTTTGTTCTCAGATTTCAACTGTTTCACGTACTAGTAGCGCTGACGCTTTCATTTTCACTACACAGAAACACTTTCACAGAAGGATTAAATCCATAAGTCAGTAAGTCAGACTCTGGCTTGATGTGCCCCATACTACATCCTCAGTAAAGTGCAGGCGTTTATTTTTGCGTTACTTTACCTTCAGACATTACACATGTGTTGCGAAAAGTCTGGTTTATTTCCAACAGTCGGCAGCAACCAGTTACCCAATGTCATCCAGACCTGTTGCTACAGCAACGCTTCGTAAAAAACACTATTACACAGCACAGTGGCCAAGTGCCAATACACTGGAACGGTTTACTCATCAAATGAAATGCTACAGTTCCACGTAACTTATTTCAGTGGTTGTTATGGTTTTATTAGTTATGGGCTTGGAATGACAGCTCAGAATTCACACTTAACAATAAATATCTGTCTTTGAGACTATTCATTGAAGGAAAAAAAATATTAAAAGTTTAGATAAAGATTTTACTAGATTGAGTTAGGCAGATCCCTACATGTAATCACAATTTCACCCATACTCATATGGAAGTCTGTGATTTTTTCAGATAATTCTTAATAGTTCGTTCTTTCTTTTGACCTCTTAAAACCAAGAGGAAAAGTACAGCAGCGTCCAAGTTAGTTGAGAAACAATCACATACTGGAATCTGAAGAGCTGGAACAGAAAAGCATCTTGTGGTCTGTAAAGCAATTGAGGTCTGGTAAGAGCAGACGGGCAACATGATGTTTCCTTATTATTTCTAGTCCATCATTTTCATTAATTCCCTCCTACTATTACATTAAATGCTATCCTAATATCCCTTTTTCACATAAGCAGTTGCTGAAGTTGCAATAATACTGCTAAAAATAGGGGAGTACAGGGACGTATAGCCTGCTTGCAGATTTTTCCACCGAACCTCTCCTTTTGGCTAAGCTGTTTTCCATAATAAATTTGCAATTAAAACAAAAGTTTCTACATCTCACTGCTAGAAAAACCCTCTAGCTCCTAGTTCAAGTGCAATCCAAAGAAATTATTTTCCTAAACTTCCCAGTCTGTAGGCAATATGCGACACTTATTTCAAGAGAAGTAAACAGCTATATCCACAAGGAGAAATGCAAATTACAAACTCCTATGAGAGTAAAGCGTGGGGTGATACTTAAAAATATCTTGCTGATGGCTTTAATGAAGATGTTAAGGTAAGGACCCAACTCTTCCATATGCAAAGTGCAGCTGTCAAGTAGTCTCATATATCAACTTCTTCATGATCCAGGAATGTCTCCTCACAGGGAATCCCCAGCTACACAAGACTCAAAGCCTTTGGATATTGTCTGAAAATTGGTGTGCTCTTGCTGTTACATGTGAGTTTATAGCTCAGTGACAACAACATAACCCCAAACTGACCCCAAAGTATTTAACGGTGGGCTATGCGCTTGATTACATATAAGCGGGAATAATGCTACATAAGTAAGATTTATTCTGAATAAAAGCAAGAAAATATTTGGTATAAATGAAGTAACCAGAGTTTCAAGCCCAGAATACCACAGAATCAGGAGTTCTTCCGCAGAGTTTGCAACCAGACTGCTACAGATGACATGAAGCTCTGGAGATAAGACTTTGAATACATCTATATTTGCTGAAGAAGTCATAATTCTAAGTTCTCTAAAATGGGCCTCAAACTGTCACATAGCCAGTATGTTTTTAACATGTTAGCTGAATTCAGAATATCTGTTTTTTCACTAGAAGTAGTTTCTCACTACTGCAAAAGAAGACATAAAATGTGCATGTTATGACAAAAATATTATTTAAAAAACGTTGGTAATGCCGAGTGAAATAATACCTTTGGCAAGTGATATGTACATACAAACCTCAGCCTCCCCAAAGAAAACAAAACAGCCTTGTCAGCTATTTCTGACTTTCTGGCCACCACCACCCTAATACCCTAAAATACCCTTATCCAAGCAAGTGCTTATCAATACCCACGCTGTGCAGAGAGCACACCATTATGAAAATGTTAGGGTGAAAATTAACTTACAGCTGGAGTACATACCATATAAGTACCAGGAGAACATTCTTAGACACAAGAACATGAAAAAATAAAAAGGGACAGTGGCACAATGAGAATCCTGGAATGAACAGCTGCAAGTGGAACTCACCCACCAGGGGCTGCAACCGCTCGTACAGTCATCCCTACTCCTTATGTACTCTGATACCTTCAGGAAAGAAATATCAGCGAGTATGTGAGCTTCAAATATACTTTACTTATTTGAGAAGCCAGGGAGTTATTTTGGGTGCATATATATTTGTAAAGAGGACAAAGTAGAATTTCAGATGTGACACTGACAACAGTAATTGCCATCAAGACTCTTGGTTGTAGTGCCTTAAAATGCACATGTGGTTCTAAAGTTTGATTAAGGGTATTGAAAAAAATGGAAGAATATGGAGTATTGCTAAAGCTTGTGGAATTAATCTTAACTTTATAAGATTTTGCAAACAACTGTCTCTTTGAAACTAAGAAAGCTAAAAAAGCCAAGCCAGAACAAAGCTACTTTCACATCTATTCACAGAGCACTGAGCTAGAATGTTCATTTGTCTTTGCTCTGGTATGTTTGCATGGTAATACAGACCACAAAATCAACCTCCCGGAGCAAAACCTAACCTTAGAGATCAAACTGCAAACTAATTAACTTTTTAGCTTTCAGTTGGGAAGTATTCACTGTCACATAATGTTTAAATTCTGAAAACTGTTTATATGTTATCTTTCCTCCAACCCGAAATGAAACATGGCACGAGTTTGCACGGAGTCTGGCACTGACGTGCAGCCATTAAAAAAAGAAAGCACTTACCCACTGGCACAGAACTCACTGGGTGTTAAGGAATTTAGTTCTGAGTGCCACTGTTAGAACCATGGTTTCCTATTCTCCCCAGCCCTTTCGCTTCAGTGGAACTTTAGTGCAGCAATACATCAGGAGCAGGAAAGCAAGATGAGAAAAGAGAGACTGGATAGGCTCTGGAGAGGAGAAAAACTTGCAGAGGAATGCACTTAGGAAAAGTCAGGGTACCCTGAGAGCAGCAGGGTCCCAGTACGCTGCCAGGCTACCACACAGACAGCCCCTGTGGCGTGTCCGTCAGGCCCCTGCGATGTGTGGCTTCACGCCTAGACAGAGGAATTACAATGATCAAGTTCAGAGAGCAGAGAAGCACGAATTACTACATAACTCAGTTTAAGCGAATGTGTCGCAGTCTTCCAGCTAGTCACAAGCAGCGCCGTGGTTTGTCACCACAGCTGCCGGAGCATCTGAAAGCAGTTTATTTATGTTTATGAATAGTCGTAACTCTGAGAGTGTTGACTGAATATTCATTAAAAAAGTCATCAGTCTTACAAAGGAGCTACTAATGTATTACATGAAGTCTTACAGGATGCACCTAGAAAGCTCCGTAATTTTAAGACTCAAATTCCTATCCTTTACAGAAGAATTTGATTTCTGGCCACCCTCCTGTTTTCAAATCTAATAGTTTTGATACCAGTTTCTGTACTTGTATTAGATCTGGACAGTCTATTTAGATGGATGTGCAACACAAAGTTGTCACTGTTTCCTCTTCATAGGGACACTCCATTCTCCTGTAGTTCAGAAAGCATCACATCTAATTTGTCCACCCCAAAGTCTATTTGAATTCCAGTGCTGCTTATTTTAAAGCATATGCTGTCCACTGGGGATTTAGAGGACAGCACTGTGAAGGCTGCCAGATACCTTAGTCATCAGATTCGAACGTCACCGCCTTTTCTTAGTTCTTCACATCCTAAATACAAGTGCGCCCTACTGCTATTTTCACACAGACACTTTCTGGTGACAACGGAATGCCTGTTCAACCACATTCGGTGTGACGGGACATTAACTCATTGTGATGCAGAGAAGATTCAAAATGCAATGTCATATTTGCAAGAGAAGGAAGTATAAGGTTAACTTTGAGGCTTGCATATCTAGAATTAGCTACTGTAATAACTTTCCTATGCCAGATGCCTCCATAAGCAGGTCAGGCAGAAAAGTCTTCTCACCAGACTCAAGAGAGGAGTCTCAAAAGTAAGTGAACTTATCCCTTTAGCCTCAGTTATCCTACATCTGTGTAAATCTACTAAAATCAGTGGGTCCTTAAAGCAAGATGTTTACACAAGTGCATTACTAGCCCTATCTTTTGATTCTTTCCAAGGTGGTTCACTGCCACCTTCTTGGCTTTCCCACCACGCATCTCGTTGTAGAAGAGCAGATATCAGCACATGCGGTGATGAAAAGCGACAAGAATAACCAGCAACTGTTGCTCAGCTCCTGAAACCTGCTGCTTTATACAATTTCCTAATTTATTACATTAAGAGTAGAAGGTTTAGTATGCTAGCACACAGACTATTTTGCTGCACACAGCACAAGGGTATGGGATAATCCAACACATTGTCTTCAAAGTAAGATTTTAACCACAAGATTGCTGAAAAGGTTTTTCTTTAGTCAGTATATTACGCTTCAGAGACGGTGACATTGTAAAGCAAGTGAGACAGACTGACAAATGGAACACACAATTTTGTTTGTTCTGCCACTGAAAGAACACCATATTGCCTAGCAGTTGGTAATTCCACCTTCATGTATGAAGACAGTATTAGAAAACAAAGATTGATACCTTTCTATCCCTGGAATTAACAGAAAGACAGAACCAGTAATACAACTGGTGATCCTCAGTGAAATAAACATCAGAAGATGCAAATATATGTATCTGATTTCAACTAACGTTTGGATTCTGTATTCAGAATGGAGACTAGCATATCTGACAGAGGCAAGCTCTGCATGGACAGCATAGCAATCCTGGTCTTCATCTGAATTTCAGGGCAGAACAGAATTCTACAGACTCCAGTGAAACTGCTCAGGAATGTGCCTGGCTGCTGCAAACCCAGCTGCACACAGCACACAGCTTAAGAACCTAAATTAACAGACATATGCTTAACTTTAAACAATAAGACAAGATATACTTTAAGTGCTCTACTGATTGGGGCCTGCTTGCATTCCACTTCCTCTAGAGAGCTGGAAAAAATGAGATAAGAATCCTTACAAAGTTGTACTGAATGAAGAG